AGTGAAAGAAACAATCTACTAAGCCCTTGTGCGGCTCCACGTAACCTGAGATCAGGCCCAATTTGAGCGGTTCTCATACATTCTCTCTAACGGCTACCGCGCCATGCCCGCGGGAATGTTATTTTCAAAGCGAAACGAAAATAGAGCCTGATCTCAGGTTAGGCTCCACGTGGAAAACGCTGGCTCTCAAACAAATAGAAGGAATACAGTGGAGAGCCGCACGCTTTGTTAAAAACTGCTATAAGCGGGAACCAGAAACAGTTATCAACCTCTTGAACGAGTTAAACTGGATTTTTTATACCAATGAAGGAACGAGGAACAATCTCGCGGTTGAGCTTACTCCACAAAGCAGTTCATGATGATGGCGGCCTTGCTTTCCCACACTATGTTATGAAACGTAGAAGGAATTTTAGGGGCCGACCATTTGACTTTTGAGGTGGGTATAGGTGATTCGGTTTGTGTAAGAATTTTTCTCCCACGTTAGCCTCAGCCACAAGTTGCTCCAAAGTTTCTTAAAAGTTGCCCGAAAGTGCTTGACTTTTCTAGAAAGTTGCTCAAAAGTTGCTCCTTGAGTAAAATCAAAATGACAGCCACTTTTTGCCAAGTGCCGCTGGCGAATCTGAACAATAATACAATTTAAAACGAATGCTTTCTTTTCTTTTTTTATTTACCACATCTATGGTGGGTGACGTTTAAATGTACAGCAAATAGGTAAAACACAGAGGCAAACTGAACAATATACGTTTCCCCTATAAAAATGTCTTTCCCTTGTTATTCTAGAAAAACTGTAAAGAACAATAATCAATGCTGTGAATATTCCTTTTATCACTTTTATCTATTCTAGGACATTTTTTCTTTTTAATACAGTGCATTAATTTAACTTTACACGTCTTGCGTGGTGGCATCCCCTTTGCAGGATAAAGGTGACACTTTCTAAAAGTTTTGCCATTAGTATCGATAATGAGGCATCTGATTTGTGACGTCTCGCCGACTTTGTGCTATTTTGGTTTAAAAAAAATTAAGTTTCTTCCAATTTTGGTCAAATGACAAATAAACGTCGAGTCATCACATAAAGTATGAAATTGTCCAAATATTTTATGATTGATATGACAACATTAAAGATGTCTTTCAAAGACTATGTGAGAATTATGCGTATAGGAAAAAATTAATTACTGAGCATGAAGTCTGATAAACATAGAAGATGACAAAGTTGACTAGGGGGTCAGCGGTCTGTGTTAAAGCCTTCTTTTATTCATGTAAATCCTTCACGTTTTCTGTTGACCTTGGGCCATTTAAGCCCCCGGCTTTGGTTGTTCTTAAGTATTTTTCTCGAATTAAAGTTAAAGTTAATTCCAAGCTGTCTTTTCTACTTATTGAAAAGCCAAACCAAAGTTAGCAGACAAATTACGGAATTTGTCATTAAAAACTTAAACTTTTCCGGAATTTTCCATCGAATGAAGAGCCCGCGATATGTCCGCTGAGACGAGGTGCCTTTACCTAACCTGCAGGGTACAAACCAATCTATTAATTATCCAATTGAAGCAGCAAGTGACGCGTGGAATGACCTTCCCTACGGCTTTATGAACATCGGCCTCAGATGTCTGAAATATTCCGAGACCTGCAAGATAAGACAGCAGGCGTTAATCAGAAAGGGTGTTCGCAATAACAACATTTGACTATAACTACCGAGATTCCATTCGTTTTCCTTTCTATAAAGTCAGACTCCACATCACCGCACTGTTTGTCTCGGTCACCTCCATTTTTAAGGGACGAGGCGGTAATGTCGTATCCACATCTCGTCTCTTGTGGGCAAAGCCGTACCCTGGTTACCAGAGGTATAAAGACTTGACAGAAACCGGCAACCGCGCTAGAAAAGTCTCTGGCTCCCAGGGTAGCAAAGCCGCCGAAGAGAGAGAGACAGATCCAAATACAGCCTGCGATGATCCCCTCTCTATATACCTTTATGACTAAAAAAAACAACAACAAAAAAGAAAAAGCTAACAACATGAGAAAGGTCAATCCCTCACCTGATAGCCTATTGCTTTGTGGGAAAAGGTTCATTTCATGGTGGTGCAGTGGGGTAGGGTGCGGAGCCTCCAGGTGCTGCTGAGGGGTAGGGGGTAGTACCTCCAGGTGCCACTGCTGGGTAAGGTGCGACACCCCCTGGTGGAGCTGTAGGGTAGCCTGGTGCCCCTCCTGGCTGCTCTGGCGGATAAGGAGCCATTGCTACTGGCTGACCAGAAGGAAAGGGTGGGGCTCCTGCAGTCTGTTGAACCGGGTAGGGTGCTGGCCCACCCTGCGGTGGAGGGTATTGTCCAGTTTTATCTTTAAATATAAACATATGATTAGCAAAGACAAACGCAATCATATCACGATAACTTCACTAATTATTCTCCTCTCCAATGTTTGTGCATATTAATTCTGCAATGCGATGTCCCCTTCTCCAATTGTCAATAAGTCCTTTGCTGCTAGTATCAGGTGGTACAACACTACCATGCTGGAGTACAAAGAATAGGGCTCTCCACAAGTTGCTCAAGATTTTCCAAACAGTTTCTCGTAATCTCTCAAAAAGTTGCTCAAAAGTTGCTAAAAAACAATCAAAAGTTGCTTTTTGTCACGAAAGTTGCTTAAAAGTTGCTGGCAAAAACAAAAGCTGTTTTAGGTCTGATGCTAAAATATGCAAATTGTACAACAAAAGTACGATTTCTAAGCATTGTTGTGCAATTTTGCGGCAAAACCAGCCTTGCTAAATAACTTTGGCCTCAATTTAAACCAAAAAATGTAATGAGCCAACGAAATTGTTGAATGGCTTTCTTAACCCGAGACACTCAAGTCAGTCGAGTTCGAATCTTCGTCCACCATTTTGAATTTTCCCTAAAGAGCGCTGACCTAGCAGCCCAGCTACTTTTATCTTGCGCCCACGATCTACCCCAGAGGGGAGGATTTGGTTCCTATTTTACAGGAAATTCATAAATTGTGTATGGAAGAAAGACTTAAGAGCGGATGTCCGTAAATATCGACCAGAGGTCTACAAAAGTGAAAAATCGAAAATTCTCAAAAAACTTCACAAAGTAGCACTTGGTAAGCTATTAACATAAATGTAATTTTTACTTCGATCCGATAATTATTTTCCACGTACGGGGGGGTTATTGGTTTCGCGGCTCTCGGACCGGGCTTTCCAGGCCCGAGACCATGTGTCGCAAAAAAATCGTTTTAAAATTCAAATCCATTGTAATGTGGACAACAAATAACTTATTCAGAAGAGTACTTAATTGCACACATTCTAAGTGGTGATTTACTCAGTTTGAACGAAAGTGTAATATTTTGGAGATTTTTCAATATTTTGAACGTTTTCGTTCAATGAAAAAATGGCAAATTTCAAAGCCCAAAATGGTCGACTGGTACCTCGATTTCAGTAACGAGTCTTATACCACGTTAAAGAGCGTTATCTCTTCTTTCAAAATCTGTTTTCAAAACTACGGGCAACTTAAAAGAAAATTTTTGAGGCCAAAAAATACAAGTAGCACTTTCCAGAAATTTGAGCTTTCCAGACGCGGCGGGCCGATGCTAAAAACTCGGGAAAATACAGTAAAAAATCAGTTTGAGCAATAGTGGTTTCATGTTATCAGCTTTCAGAAACCAAGACGCGTTTATACAGCGATCTGATGTAAATTAATGCCGTTTGCTATCAAGAAAGGTAGATTTAAGCTGTCAACTCCTGCCAAGTGCACCAGTCACGTGAAGTTGTCAAAGGGAGGACAAAGCACTAAAAAATTCAAAACGTTTTACGTCCATGAAATCAGATTTTAGCGTACAAAACAATGTTGTGAATGTCTGTTGTTCGTACCTTAGCATGGTGTTTCCATATATTGGAAATGTCAAGTATCCACACGGGAGAACATACCAAACAACAACGTTTCAAAGAGCGCCGAAAGATCGTAAACGGCAAAGATTGCGTTACATTTCACAGAACGACCGCTTACCACTGTTGTCACTCCTTTTTTCGCTGGAAGCTACGAGGAGTTTTCATTCCGTCATTAGTGATTCTTGATCAGCGTTTCCTTGAAAGTACGACCCCGGACAGGTGATAACTGAGGACGTTTCGTCAAGACTCCTGTTGTTCAGTTTCAGGCTTTAGCAGGTGCGTAGTCAGGATTTTTCCGGAGGTACGCCCAACTTTTTCTACATCTTCTTCCCCCCTCCCCCCCCCCACCCCACCCCAAATCTCAACATTTTTTTAAGGTGCCTTTATTAGAGGTGGGGTTAACGGTTGTAAGCAAAACTATTTTTGCTGTTTATGAAATGACACAACCTCTAAAATTCTTTAATTCTGTCGGCTTGTTATGTTCGTTGACGTCAACCGTTTATCATTAATTCAGCTATTAAAAATCAAGCTTGTAGTACCTCCGACTTAAGTTTACAAATGACTCTTTTTACCCCTTTTTGTCACATTATTTTTGACCGACAAAAGCACCACACATTGACGTAATTGTGCCCTACTTCGTCTACTCCGAAGACAGGTCGTTGAGAAAACAACGCGTTCACGCTTAACATCATCAAGCTTGCTATATAAATAAATCATCCAAGATTCGGTTCTCCAATTAATGTCGTCGCTTCTCTGGAAACCGATTTTTTTTAGTTATGTTTATTTCATTCTACTTTTTTTCCTCAACGTTTTCGGGTACGCACGTGCAAACCGTGCGTACAAGTAGCTACGCCCCTGTTTAGTCTCCTTAGCCCTGAGCGTTCCTCTCTTGCGGTTTTCGCGGGAGTTCAGGATGTGGTCCACCCAGTATTTCACGTCTCTTTTAAATGAGAGGCAGCACTTCTTGTTTACCGTTTCGTTATCAGACAGCGCTTAGGCTTTTAGCCTTTCATTTAATTTTGATCAAATTTTTATCATTTAGTTACTCAGTATACGTTCGATCCTGTCCTTGTAAACTTATACTTTTATACTTTAAGGGAGCTTAATACCTATATTAATTTTTTCTTCGTTTAGT